ATTCTATGATTCATTCTATACTCAAGAAAGACTCAAAAACATGATAACAGAGATTGTCTTTTATTTTAGAAAAAGGAGACAAAACTGGAGCTGTGCACAACAGAAGCAGGTGAAGGTAGATTTAAATACAGTTAATAGCCAGTACACAGAAAGGAAGCAAAACTTGACATTTAAATTCTAAAATGTAATGGCAAAACTAATGTTTTTCAGACCATTATAAAATTAAATTATAGAAAGTTTAAAGTTATAAAGACAATATAAAGCTTTTAATTGTAGAGTAACAGTTCCAACTTTTCTTGCAAATTTGAACACATATACACAGAAGAAATCAACAGAAGAGTTGAAGTAAAATAGCACCAGTCTTCTGTAGTGTGGAAATAGATAGCTTGATGCTTTCTCCCCTATCCCTCTCCATTCTAAGATCAATTTCAATGTTGTAAAATTTAGCACTTCAATCTTAGGGAAATCATAACTCAGAAACTGCTTAATGGCTGGTCCAATTCAGCAGTGCTACATTTTGCTCTTTGACAGGCTTCTGGATACCAGAGTTCACACTCTCAAGTTCCTTCTCCTGAGCACCACAATCTAATCACTGTTTTTCCTTGTACAAGATACTCTCAGTAAGCATCTAGAGTCTCTTCCCTGACTGCACCTGAGTTTCACGAATGAGAGGCCTTCAAATGTCACACGCCTGCCCCCAAACACATGCACAACCTCAACTCAAAAGCCATCATTATTTCCTTCTATTTAAAAAAAAAATTGTACAAGACATGATAACAGAACATCAAAAGAGTAGTTAATCTTAACAGTTTTTTACTTCTCCTGATGTATTCATTCATCATTGCATTGTCTTTATTAAAATGATGCAGAACCTGTGTAGTGGAAAGTGTTTTAAAAAGCTCATCACTCAATACAAGTATGATTTGGCTGACTTTCAACCCATTATTTGAGACCTGGATATTAATACTTCCACTAAGTGTTACACATTTGCTTCTTCTAACAATCGGTCTTGGAAGACTTCCTTTGGGTTAGCATACCTCACTGAGACAAGAGGGACCCCTTTTTCCTTCCCTCCTTTAGTAAGAGGAAAGTAAAAGAAGGGAAGAAAAATCTTAAGTTGGAGGGAAAAAAAAAAGACAACGATTGGGCAGCAACTGGGAGAAGACCTAAACATCATTCACCACTTGCTATATGCTGTTTTTTGTTAACATCTTTAAAGTTTACCATCTTCTCAAATTACTGTTTGCTACTAATCACAGTCACTATTTTACCTACTTTTCAATACCAAGTCAAGTATTAAGCCCTTGTTAAGTACAAAAAAAAGTCTTCTGAAGTCACCAGAACTGTACCTGTATACACCTCAGGGAAATGTGTCCCATTTCTTATGTCTTTTTCCCTTGAAGTATTTGAAAAGGGA